TAAATAATATATCACCACATTTTATTATGGTAGTTCCTCAGAAATTGGGAATGGTGTATCTCAAGATCCAGCTATACCATTCTTGGGCATATACCCAAGAAACACCCCATTCTACCAAAAAGACACTTGCTCAACTATGTTCATATTGGCTTTATTCATAATAGCCAAAAACTGGAAACAACCTAGAATCCCTCAACTGAAGAATGTATAAATAAAATGTCATCCATTTACATAATGGGGTATTACTTACCTGTTAAAAATGACACCATAAAGTCTGCAGGCAAATGAATGGAACCAGAAAAAAATCATCCTGAGCAAGGTAATCCAGACCCAATAGACAAACATGCCATATATATATATATATATATATATATATATATATATATATGTATGTATATGTATTCACTTATAAGTGGATATTAGCTGTTAAGCAAGTGATAACTGAGCCACAATACATAGACTCAGAAGGTTAGGTAGAAAGGAGTCCAGGTGGGATGTGTAGTTGTCCCACAGAAGTGGAAATAGAATACATTTGATTGGAAGGCTGGGGAAGTTGAGGACTGAAGCAAGAGGGATCAAGTATGGAAGGAAATAAGATGGAGGAAGAGAGGTCAGGGAGAGTAGTCTGGAATTGGGGGGGGTGGGCATTTGGAGTTTTGTGTGAAAACATAGATCAGTGGAAACTTACTGGAATCTATGAGGGTAATCCTAATAAGGATTCCTAAAATAGGGGATATGGAGTCTAACCTGGCCATCTCTTGGAGTCAGACAAGGCTTCCATTGGCAGGACTTGGTTGCATTGGTTAAGTTGTTGGAGGAGGTGTTTCCATGTAGATTCCTCAAACAACCCAGGATGATGCTAGGACAGAGGGTTGCTCTCAGCAAACTGCCAGAGGGATCCATTGCCAAGGACAATATATTCACACATCTCAATGAACATGGAGAGGTCAAGCTGGTGTCTGCATGGACCCTTCATTCTAATTTCTTTGATGTGGGATGGTACTCTGAATGCTACCAGAAACAAAACATGGATGCCAACCCATCCACAACATATTTGACCAATAATTTCTCAGGCCTAAAAGATGTACTTGGGCAATGGCCTTGAGAACTTGTGGGATGGCCAATCAGTATCTAATTTAACTTAAGGCCCATTCTAAAAGAGGAAGCCCATGCACTATATCACTTGGATAGTCAGGAACTAGAGACTAGATAACCCAGTGGATTAGTGTTAAAGCAAACACAACTGGTCAAAAAAAATGGATGATTACTAATGATATCCTGCTATACTCATAAATCTGTGCCTCATTCAGTTGTTATCAGAGAGACATCCTCTGCCAACATATGGGAGCATGTGCAGAGATCCATAGCCAAACATTATGCACACACACACACACACACAGAGAGAGAGAGAGAGAGAGAGAGAGAGAGAGAGAGAATCTAAACTGTTTCCATTGGGTCCCTCCCTTGGGAGATCATGGAACCCCTCTGAAGAGAGCGAGGAAAGACTGTAGGAGTCGGAGGTAATGGAGGACACTAGAAGAATATGACCCACTAAATCAACTAAGCAAAGTTCATATGGGCTCACAAAGACTCAAGGAGAAAGCATGGAGCCTGCAGAGTTCTGCATCAGGTCTTCAGCATATATGTTGTAGCTGTTAGCTTGGTATTTTTGTGGGACTATTAACTATGGAAGCAGATTTGTCTCTGACTCTATTGCTTGCTCTTGGGTCTCTTTTCCAGGAATGCTGTGTTGTCTTTCCTATATGTCTGTCCATTCTTAGTGATTATGTGTCCCCATTTCTTTTCTCTTAAGAACACTAGTTATATTGGTTTAGGGCAAACTTCAACATGACAAAGTAACTTAAATGAGTTTTAAACTAATCACATCATTAATAACCTAGTACTCTTACTTTCCACTATCCTAGGGGATGAGACACCAATGAAAGTTCATGCAGAAACACATCTGCATAGTAACCACTATTCTACAAAGAAAGTGAAGGCAATATAGAACTGCACTGAGATAGCAATATAAAGATTAGTAAGACTTGATGTCATATTACATTTCACTAAGAAAAAAAGGGAGGCTGTCAACCCATACTGGCCTGAAATCTACTACTTTGAATTCCTACTTTATTCTTATCAAAAGGATCCTGTTATATGTGCATATACACTCATAGTTTACAGATGACTCAGCAATTTATTCTTTCTTCAGAAATAAGGCTCTCTCTCTCTCTCTCTCTCTCTCTCTCTCTCTCTCTGTGTGTGTGTGTGTGTGTGTGTGTGTGTGTGTGTGTGTGTCACTTTTTGCATGAGCCTCAGATATAATGACCTAGCTTCTATGACTTGTGGTTATCTTGATGTCTTAAGGATTATTGCTTTGTATTAAGTAAATAAAAATAAGTGTATACAATGGTACCTTTCCTCCAATAAAGTCCTTTCTAACTGGCTTCATATCCATAGGTATTGGTGCTTGTTTGGCATGGGAAAATGCTACACCCATTCCAAGCAGTACAAAAATTACTTTTCCTTAAATACTTTTAAGTATGCTCTTTGTTCTATTCTCCATATGCTGATTCATTGTTATATTGACAAATTATATTTGCTTTCTATATTACAGTTTGAATTGATCTTACTATAACTGTGACAATAAATATATTTTCATAAATATATATGAATCTTAAATTACCCCAACTTAACACAAACTATCTATTAAAACAAATTCTCCCCCAGTTCAACTGCATTGACCACAACACCAATATCTATGATCAGTTGTTTACACTGATACCAGCAATGGCAGCTATGCTGGAACTGGCAGCAGGCCATGAGCAATGCTGAGAAGCTGTTAAGCCAAGGGTAATGGTAACTGCCTATAATCTCAATCCTCAAGAGACAAAGTCAAGAGGATGATAATTTCAAGGCTACCCTGAAATACACAACACAATCTTGTCCCAAGGCAAAAGAAAAAAAAAAGTACTGAGAAGCTCTGAGTATCAAGTAACATGCTTACTACAAGAAAGCTGAGTGGGAAAAAATGCATGTTTATGTTTCTGGAATATGATATTTAAAACAAAGTGTGTGGTATTTTTTAAATGTGTATAAATTTATGTAATGTGTACCATAGAAGTTTTAATATTAGGTATGCAGAATCTAAGACAAAGAAGACTAAGGCTCAAAACTAGAAGCTCAGACTCAAAACCAAGTCATTTCTGTTGATGCTTCCACTTGACACAGCTTACTAAACTCATGCAGCCACAGGATCGAGGTGCTGCCACCTAACTCTTCCTATTGTTTCAGATGGCATCTAGCAACTTTGACTCATTTTTTTAGGTATGTCTCTTCTTTGGGACACCCAAAATTTTATTATTCTTCCATGAATTTCTGTACAAACTTTTCCATTTACCATGCTTGAGAATATTAAAGAAGAAAAAAAAAAAGCTATCAGATATTTGATTGCTATCACCCAAACTTTTATTGTGCTTATTTACATCCACTCTTTTCTCTTCCAAAACCCAATTTAACCTCATATTAATTGATCATCACACTTGTATGCACATTCTTCTGCTTAGCATTCATCTGTTTCCCAAAACCATTTGTAAGGAGTAAGGTTTTTCCTCCAGCTGCGCGGGTCTTGTCCTGCTGCCGCGCCAGCCCCAAATAATGCACTGAGACTCTGTATTTGATATAATTCTGTTGGCTCATTACTACTTTCTTATCGGCTAGCTCTGTCTTAAGTATTAACTCATTTCTGTTAATCTAATATTTCCACGTGGTCTTCTTACCTGGGAAAGGGGCCAGCATCTGTCTCCCCAGTCTCTCCATCTTGACTCCTCCTTCCTATTTCCTCCTTGTCTCCTAGTCCCTCCTATCTTGTTTTCCTATTGGCCAACAGTGCTTTATTCATTAACCCGTATGAGAAACATATACAGAATGACATCTCCCATCATCTCCTCTTTCCTGTCTAAATAAAAAGAAGGGTTTTAAGCTTAACATAGCAAAATATATCACACAACAGTTATCAAATAATAATCACAGTTAACAATATTTAGTCCATTAACATTTAGCAAGATTAAAAGAGACTATTCTATTATCTATCTTATATTTGTGAGTCTAAAGTCCTATATGTACCTTATCATTGAATCCTAACTAAGGAAGACTATAACCATGACTATCTTTCTTCAACTCCTTCAAAGACCACAGAAGGATAGTATATAAACTCTAGTAATGACAGAGACATCTTGCCTTTTCAGTCACCTGAAGTTCTTCTGTAATCTTCCATCTTCAGCCTATAGGCCATAATGTGTCTGGCAGACTCTTCAGCAAAGCAGGAAACTTTAAACTGTCTTCTTTTATTGGCAGCTTGTCAGTCATTTTTCTCTGTGTCCTGCAGACTGTCTGGCAGACTCTTCCATGAAGCAGGAACTCTGTAGCAATGTCCATCTTGAATCAGCAGTCACTTTTCTGTGGGTCCTGCATGTCAAGTTTATACAGCATAAAGTCAAACAGTCCAGACAAGAGCAGTATCTTGTCCAAATGGCTAGTCTTGCCATATTGGAAGCAAAATCTCTAACGAGTTTCTTCAATGTCCATCTTCCTTTCTGGTGCAGGTGGTGTTGCCAGGAACAATTATGACTCATTGTCAAGAAAAACCCTAAACCATTTTAAATGCCATATTCTGTAGGTCTTTGAAAGGTTTGAAGAATTCCTATCTATCTGAACAAACACATTTGTGCCACCATCTACCAGTATATTACATTCTAGCTTTACAATTGTGAGGATTTAAGCACACAAAGCTGGATATTATACTCAGAAAAAAATAAGGTCATGAGATCTTTTAAATGTACATTTTTGAATAGTTATTGATGTCACTGAAGTTTTTCAAGACAGTGGGTCTAATCCAGGTCCTCAAACATTTAAGCAAATGTTCTACCAATGAATGAGTCCCTCTAGTCCTATGCTTCACATGTCCTAAGATTTACTTCAATACCAAATACAGGTTCTACTTAAGTAAACACTGTTTTCTTCAAAGTTTTTCTCAGTGCAACATGCACATCCTTATTCCTTAAACTGTAGATGAAAGGATTCAGCATTGGGCCCACAATAGTATAAAAAATAGTAGATATTTTATCATCATCTACAGATGTATTAGAAGGCTTAAGATACATGAATGCCGAGGCTCCAAAGAAAAGCGAAACGGCTATTACATGGGAGCCACAGGTGCTGAAGGCTTTTGACCTACCCTCAGCAGAATGAATGCTGAGGATGTTGGAAAGGATCAAAGTGTAAGAAATGAAGATAGTCAGGCTGGGCACCATGACATTGACACCCACAACAATGAAAACCACAAGCTTGTTCATGGCAGTATTTGTGCAGGAGAGCTTCTGGAGAGGAGGTATGTCACACATGTAGTGATTGATGATGTTACCATCACAAAAGGTCAAACTTAGCATACTACCAGTGTGGGCCATTGCACCCACAAACCCCATCACATACACCCCCACCATCATCAAATGGCAGACCTGATAGGACATGGTGACCTTGTAAAGCAGGGGCTTACAGATCGCAGCATATCTGTCATAGGCCATGGCTGTCAAAATGTAGCATTCATCAATCACAAAGAAGCAGAAGAAGAAGAGCTGGGTCATGCACTCAGCATGGGAGATGGTGTTCTGCTTCACAAAACTCACCAGCATTTTGGGGGTTATGACAGATGAATAGCAGAAATCAATGAAGGAAAGGTTGAAGAGAAAGTAGTACATGGGGGTGTGCAGGTGAGGATTCAAAAAAATGAGAACAATCAAGCCCAGGTTCCCCATCATGGAGACCACATAGATTGCCAAGAAGAGAAAGAAGAGAGGCAGCTGGAGCTCTGGTTGCTGTGTCAAGCCCAGCAAGATGAACTCCTTCACAGAAGAGTCATTCTCTGAGGCCATTCTTCTCCAGGTCATTTCTGTGAGAACAGTAAAATTCATAGCATTAAAATGAAATCACAACCCTCTCCCAAATACCACTTAGAAATGAGATTAAGAACCAGAATCAATTGATAAATTCAAACTCAGACTTCTTTGTGCCTTTTCTTTCTAAATTTTTATGGGTGTAATGAACACAAATAAATGAAAGGTCATTTCCTAGGGAATAACATTCAGGGAACCAGTGATCATTTTTGTTCTGCAACATCACAGTTCTTCGTCTTCCTTGGAAAACCACTTCTGACTTAAGGGCCAGCAATAATCTCTAAAGAGAAGAAACAAGGCACTCAAAGACTCAAGGTAATTTGGAGAAAGAAAAACAAGCATGCATCTAATTCAACACTTACCCCTCCTGTATGGAGAACTGGTAAGTGACCTCACTGACTCTTCTCTACTCACACAGATGTACTCATGGAATTGAAAGGATGTAAGTTGCAAAACCCAACACATATATTCTATGATGTTGTTATCACATTTGCCTTTCTGGTGATGAGGGAAATTAAATTTGGACTGGAAAAATCAGAGTCATCATTTCTTGAGATTAAGAAAAACCATGATTGTAAATCATTATTTCCAGTGGTGACTTTTCCAAAGTTGTCCTCTCTAGACCAGCAGTTGTTAAATAGCATTTACTGATGTCAAGAGAACCAACTGATTATGTCCCAAGAGAGTTTTATGAGACTGTAATCTTAGGAACCTCATTAAAAATTGAAAGGTTTATGTTTCCCAGATATTTTCCCCAAGAGATCCAGTGTTATTGTCATGATACTTAGGGACTAGTTCAATAGTAATGGCATTGGCTTATTGGAGGTATACAACTTTGTTTTGTATTTATTGTTTGATATATATATATATATAGATATAGATATATATAGTGTTTTCATCAAGCTCACCCCAGAATTCTTTCTCTATAATTCCTCTCCCAACCTTCTACCACTTATCCTCATGCAACTTCATCTCTTTTTTTCCTATTTTTTTTAACCTACTGAGTTCAGTAAATGTTGCCAGTATGTATATGAATGTAGGGATATCTGTGTGAGTAAAGTAGCCTCTTGGGGTCACATCCTCAAAATTGACATTAGTTTCTCACCTGAGATAGAATTTTATGACCATATTGTCCCTCAATGCCTGTATTTTAATGTTTGATTTTTCACTAGTCTTAAGCATACTGTTGCAACTCTTGTGGATTTATTAGAAAAGTGAACATATTGAGTCCTGAACACATTGTTTCAGTGTAGTTATCTATCACCCCAAGCTCTTGCAATATTTCCAACCCTGCTTCCATTATGATCCTTTAGACTTGGAAGAAGGGGTACGATGAGGTGATCTGCCTAATTCCCAGTTATGGATTTATGTTTTAATAACCATATACCACCAAAAGAAGCATTTCTGATGAAGGTTAAGAGGGGAACTAATCTCTGGATATAAAGTATAATGGCAATTTATTAGGAGTCAGTTTAATTCTATATCCACAACAGAAAAACAGTCATAGGTAATTCCACAGAGCTTATGACCTATCTAGTCTCAGGAAGTTTAACCCGAGAAGTATGCTAGAAATGAGTTCTTAAAAATTAATAAAAATATTATGTTTATAAAGAATGTGAAATATGCCTTAAGTATATTATATCAAATATCATTGCAAGAATAATTTTTCTGTCAAATGCTAACCTAAACCTTATATTAAAGGTCATTTAATTTTTACAAACTTTTATACCTTCAATGTAGATGAACATGGAATAATGTAGATAGGTTCAAAGATTCTACTTTTACAAGAAAGCTCTCTCTTCAATTCTTTTCTTTTATTTGCTTTCACATTACCCTGACTCACTTATATCAAAGTATATAAAGTGGTAACCCCTCACTAAGACATACAAAACTCCATCTTTCATTCACTCCTAACTCCTTACAAGACTGACATATTTGATGTTATTAGTCAGTGCTGATTTAACACAGAAAGCTTCATGTTGTACTACATATTCATGACTATAAAATATATGATATTAACTAAACTATGTATGTCTCTGTACTCTCTTTGAATGTTTTACCATAAATCTAAAATAAGTTCAAGTCTAGTTTTGATGCATTAATGGGATTAACAATAGATTAGACAATGTAGGAAAATTTAACAACAAAACATCAAAAAAAAAAAAAAAAAAAAAAAAACATCGTCCAATGAAACATAGAGAAACCAATGAAAAAATAACTGAGAAAAGCTTCAGAGGTTCCTCAACCACATTATGGATAGTTGAAAGAGTGAGCAATTAAGAAAAAAAAAATGAATACATGCAGCTAAGAACATCTATGTACAAACTATCACACAGTGAAACCCTTGAGCATTGACTAGTCTTTGATAGCAAATTTGACTATCTAATCTATATAAAAACTTCTTTTTTCTTATTGTACCTATCAATCCCAGTTGACCCTCCCTCACTTCCTCTCACCCTATCTCCCATGCCCCCTGACCAACCACACTCCACAGAAAGGATGATGCCTTTCAGGAGAAGTCAACAAAATATGTCAAGTCATTTGGGGGAGGGACTACACCCTCCCTCCTGCCTCTAGGCTAAGGGAGTATCCCTCAATGTAGAATGTGCTCCTAAAGTCCTTTTCTGCACAAGGGATACATCATGGTTCCACTGTTAGAGGTCCCTTACACTGCCCAGGCCTTTTAACTGAGACCCATGTTCAGAGGACCTAAGTCAATCCAATGCTGGTTCCCCAGCTATCATTCTGGGGGCCCATTAGTTCCTCCTTGTTCAGGTCAGCTGTCTCTGTGGGTTTCTATAGCCTGGTCTTGTCTTCCCTCTCTGGATATGGATTCCAGTTTGGCTCAGTGTTTAGCTATGGGTGTCTACTTCTGTTTCCATCAGCTACTAGATGAGCACTCTATGATGGTGGATAAGTTACTCATCAATCTCATTACCAGAGAAGGGCATTTATAGTAGCATTTCTACTGTTGCTAAAATTGTTAGTTGGGGTCAGTCTTGTAGGTTTCTGGACATTTCTTTAGGTTCAGTTTTCTCTTCAACCTATAATGATTCCCTCTTTTATAGTATCTCTCTCTCTCTATCTCTCTCTGTCTATCTCTGTCTCTCTCCCTCTCTTCTCTCTTCTATTCCTCTCCTGACTCAGTCTTCCTTGTCCCACATGCTTTCCCCTCCTCCCCTTCATATTCCCCTAGCTCCTTCTCCACTCACTGCCCTCCACTCCCAATATTCTCAGCAGATCTGGTTCCTTTCCCCTTCTGTGAGGAATCTTGTATGAAACTCTTAGATTCCTCCTTGTATCCTAGTTTCTCTGGAAGTATGAATTAAATGCTGGTGATCCTTTGCTCTATTTTTAAAATCCATATATAAGTGAGTACATACCATGTTCCTCTTTTTGTGACTGAATTACCTCATTCAGGATGGTTTCTTCAAGTTCCATCCATTTGCCTGCGAATTTCAGATTCCATTGTTTTGTTTTGTTTTTCCACAGAGTAGTATTCCATTGTTTAAATGTGACACATCTTCTTTATTCATTCTTTAGTTGAGGGGCATCTAGGTTGCTTCCAGGTTCTTGCTATTACAACTAATACTGCTACAAACATAGTTGAACAGATGCCTTTGTTGCACAGATGTGGATCATTTGGGTATATGCCTAAGAGTGGGATTGCCAGGTCATGTGGTAGACTGATTCCCATTTTCCTGAGGTTCTGCAATATTGATCTTCAAAATGGCTATACAAGTTTGCACTTCCACCAGCAGAGGAGGAGTGTTCCCCTTTCTCCACATCCTCTCCAGCATAAGTTGTCATTGGTGTTTCTAATTTTAGCCATTCTGGCAGGAGTAAGATGGTATCTCAGAGTTGTTTTGATTTACATTTCCTTATAGCTAAGGATGTTGAGCACTTTCTTAAGTGCCTTTCAGCCTTTTTTATTTCCTTTATTGAGAATTCTCTCTTCGGTTCTGTACCCCATTTTCAATTGGGTTTTTTGGTATTTTGGTGACTAGTTTTGAGTTCTTTTTGGAGATCAGCCCTCTATCAGATGTAGGATTAGTGAAGATCTTTTTCCAGTCTGTGGGCTACCATTTGATCTTGTATACTATGTCCTTTCTTTACAAAAACTTCTCAGTTTGAGGAGGTCCCATTTATTAATTGACAATCTCAGTATCTGTGCTACTGGAGTTATGTTCAAGAAGCAGTCTCCTGTACCAACTTGTTCAAGGGTACCTCTGACTTTCTCTTCTAAGAGGTTCATTGTAGCTGGATTTTTGTTGAAGTCTTTGATCCATTTGGACTTGAGTTTTGTGCATGGCGATAGACATGGGTCTATCTACAGTCTTCCACACACCATTATCCAGTTGTGCCAGAACCATTTGTGGAAGATGCTTTCCGCTTTCCATTGTATACTTTTAGCTATTTTGTCAAAAATCAGGTGTTCGTAGGTTTGTGAGTTAATATCAGGATTTTCGATTCAATTCCATTGGTCTACCTGGTTTTTTTGTTTGTTTGTTTGTTTTTATTGTTTTGTTTGTTTGTTTTTGTTTTTATTTTATTTTCAGCCAATACCAACCTGTTTTCAGAACTATAGCTGTATAGTAGAACTTGAAGTCAGGGATGGTGATGCCTCCTGAAGTTCCTTTGTTGTACAGGTTGTTTTGGCTATCCTGGGCCTTTTGTTTTTCCATATAAAGTTGACTTTTATCCTTTCAAGGTCAATGAAGAATTGTGCTGGGATTTTGATGGGGATTGCATTGAATCTATAGATTGCTTTTGCCAAGATTGCCATTTTTACTATATTTATCCTACCTATACAAGAGTATGAGAGATCTCCCATTTTCTGGTATCTTCTTTAATTTCTTTCTTTAAGGATACAAACTTTTTACTATATAGGTCTTTCACTTGTTTGGTAAGCATTACCCCAAGATACTTTATGTTGTTTGTGGCTATTGTAAAAGGGTGATGTTTCTCTGATTTCTTTCTCAGTCCCTTTGTAA